GGGGGGGAGGGTTTTGAGGTAATGAATTTGTCAACTGAAGCCCTGTTTAGATTCAAATCTACTCTTAACTATATTTTGCAGTGTAAAGACAAATTCTTCAAGAAATTAAAATAGCTTGTGGTGCATTTCATCTCAATTGAAAAGTCTGTTGTTCATGCTAATCAGTAGCTGACCCCAAGAGGCTTATGTTCTATTTTTTTGTGCCTTTTGAACTTAGCTTGTTTTCCCCAAACCAGAGTGGAACTGATGTTCAGGTGCCAAATATAGGCAATGGTGTCTCCCAGACCAATCCTTGTCCACGTTTCTTCCACCTCACTTTGATTTTCATAAAGCCAAGGGCAGGCATTTCCAGGCCAAATTGTTGCATAAGGGCCTTACTTGGAGGGAGACTGCAGAACACTAAGAGGTTAATTACTGGCATGGGCTATAAAAAATGACAAATTAGGATTGAATATTTCTTATTTAAAGAGAGAGGCTCTTTGTACATATATATTTATGGGATATCAGAGGGAAGAGGTCAAAGGAAGTTTGTTAAAGTATGTGGTCTTGCCCTGTTCTCTATAAATAAGATTTATAGAGCTTCAACAAGGTTATGTGGGGACTTCAGCTCCCAGAATTCCCCAGCCAGCATAGTCCATGTGTCTTAAAGTTGTCAAGGTCGAGAAACCCTGCATTAGAGTGAAAATGCTTCTTTCTCCTGCCTTAACCATAAGTAAGCTAGAAACAAACATTGTAACAAATGACTGATAGTTGAAAATGGAAGCATGAAGAGCAAATAGAGGCAAGGGAGGAGCACATCAGCCTAAGGTTCATGAACATGTGGTTCTCTGGAATTTAGAATAAATCTGTATGCAGAGGTAATGTCATTTACATATTCACCCTACCATTTTTTTATATCCAGCATTCAATTTGGAGCATGTTTTGATCAACTAGCCCATATCAGTACTGGTAGTAGCAGGTATATGGATGAAACTACTACAGATAGGATCAGTTATTAGTCCATCTAACAACTTTGTTTACTCTATTAGCAATCTCAAACGTCTCTGAATCCCCCCCCCCTCCATATCTGTTAAAACAGCGGTACAAAAATGTTGGATCTCCTTTTGATTTTTTTTAAATGGGAAGGCTAAATGGGTACCCTATCCATACCCTTGAATCCCATTTATGGAATTTATATCATTTTTTTAATTCATTCAAGCTTGTAAAATATTGGAGGCTTAATTTACCATTCCATTAGAGAACCAGAGACACAGATGAAAGTGAACAAGGATGGTAGAGGAACCTAACATACTGAACAGACTGTAAATTATTGATAATTTCATTGATGTTAAAGCAGTTTTATTGTTGTCTTGCAGACCATGGAAAATCTGTACAGTGGAAGCTTGGTGCAGATGGTGATGTCTGGGTATGGGTAATGGGCGAACACATACTGGATAAACCGTATGACTTTCTGTGTGGTGAAATTCTTGCTGAAAGAGTGAGGCAGCAGTCACTTCAGCAAGTAGAGGCAATAAGGTTAGTATAGCCTTCCAAATACTGAAAATAATACACCCAATCTGGCTTTGTTATTACCAAAAGGGATTTCTTTGGGGCAGGTCCTGACTAGAACAAATTGCATATCACAGGTTGCAGTCCAAAATGGATGTGGCAAAGATCCTTTTTCAATTCAGATGACAAAGAATCTAACCAATTTTTTCTATTTGACATCCCTGAGATTGATTGCGATTTCATCTCCCAGAATTCCTAGGTATAAGCAAATATTAAACTGTTTCAATTTTTCAAAAACTGTCCAAAGCATTCAAAGTGATGGGTATAACATAATACTAAATAAGGGCATTGTTCTAGTTTTTAGTTTCAAAGCTGTTATTTTTCCGTTATGGAAGTCAGACAGGGTCCTTGCATGACATCTGATAGCACCTGATAATATTTTTCAAAAAATTTGACCTGCCTTTTCCTCCCTCCTAGGAGAGCTGATGTTTTGAAGATTGGCCATTACATCTATCCAGTAATCTGTGTTTACCTGCATGAGAGCATAAATATATATGAACTTTAAATATTTCTATATTGCCTTTAAAGACTATATAGCCTTTTCAAGGCAGCATTTGCAAATAACATAAAATAAATATTCAGCCACTGTAGATAATAACAAAACGTTATGCTCTAATCTGGCATGTTTCATGCTGTAATTGCAATAAGCCATTTGCAGACAGAGAACGACAGAGAATGTGTAGTATTATGCAGGATAATGATGGAGTTTTTTCAGTATAACTTAAACCCAAAGAACCACCGTTGTTGTTGTTGTTCAGTCGTTAAGTCGTGTCCGACTCTTTGTGACCCCATGAACCATATTGCGCCAGGCCTTCCTGTCCTTCACTGCCTCCCTGAGTTTGCTCAGTTTCATGCTCATTGCTTCAGTGATGCTATCTAACAATCTCATCCTCTGCCATCCTCTTCTCCTTTTGCCTTCAATCAGGGTCTTTTCCAAAGAGTCCTCTCTTCACATTAGGTGACCAAAGTATCTGAGCTTGAGCTTCA